TGCGGTATATGGATACCGCAACGTTTGGCAAACGTTGCGGTAGACCTCCCACTCTACGACAACACTTGATTTTGCAACACAGGTTCAAACGTTGCCGTAGGCCTACGACAACGTTTTTCAAACGTTGCCGTAGACTGTTTTTGTTGTAGTGGCCTAAGGAGATCCTTGATCCCGAGGCAACAAAACCCGAAGATTGGGATGATGAGGAGGATGGTGAATGGGAGGCTCCAAAGATTGATAACCCCAAATGTGAAAAGGCACCTGGATGTGGGGAGTGGAAGAGGCCAATGAAAAGGAATCCTGCATACAAGGGGAAATGGCACGCTCCCCTTGTTGAAAATCCCAACTACAAGGGTATTTGGAAGCCCCGGCTAATTGGAAACCCTGAATACATCGAGTTTGAGAAACCAAATTTTGAGTCGATTGTGGCTATCGGCATTGAAATTTGGACAATGCAGGATGGTATACTGTTTGACAATCTTTTAATAGCTTCCGATGAAAAAGTTAACACAAACTTACCGAAACACTACATGGAAGCCAAAATTTGAAGCAGAGAGAGACGGAATGTTGAGGAATCTGCCGTTTCAGATGGTCTTCAAGGAGTTCAGGTGCTTAGTCAAGACTGTCCTCTTTCTCATGGTTTCCACATTTTGCTTGCTGCTATCTCTAAATCTTAACTTGTTCTAGTTAATTGTTTCAGAAATTGGTGTTTGACTGTCTTTACAAGATTGCAGATCTTCCCTTCTTGGGTGATCACAAGACCAAAGTTTTGGTTAGTGTTTATGAAGATATTGTTATGTTTTTGGCAGCATGTTATATGCTTTGTTGTTGTGATTGTCACTTAATTGAGCTTATTTCTTGCAGGATATTCTTGAGAAGGTTGAGAAGCAGCCAAACCTTACAATTGGTATAGTTGCATCCATTGTAGTTATCTTCACAGTGTTGTTGAAGGTCATCTTTGGTGGGAAGAAGAAGCATGTTAGTATCTGGAATCCTTTGGTCACATCATAAACATGTTTTGCTTCTCAGATCACTTCCAGGATATAATTCAACAATTTTTATTTTTTATTTTTTTTAATATTGATTGCAGGCTAAAGTTAGATCAGAGACAAATAAGACAGATACAGCTGAAACCTCAAACAACCAGGGAACTACTGAGGAGAAGGAAGACAAAAAAGAGGACACTGATGCTGTTGCTCGTCGGAGGAACACCAGACACGACAGTTAGGGAATCTGTGTAGAAATAAATCCAACTACCATATTAGAGTAATTGGTGAAAGATGATACAAGAGGTGTATTGGCTGTTGCTATAACTTTTGGTTGATTTATAAGCACAATTCTCCATCTTGAACTTTCCACTTCATACTCATTTTTGTTTTTTTTTATTTAGTAGGTGTGTTCTTTTAGTGTACCACAGACTGGTATGTGACCAAATGTAGGATAATGGTGTAGCTTTCCACGTGAAAAGACTATTGCGCGCACATAGGATTTTTTTTTTTTTAATATATATATACCAATAACAATGTTTCTTAAGGCAATCAACAATGTTTTTTTTAAGTCATTTTTTTTTTTACATTGCTACCAATAACAATATTTTTTTCACTCACATTCCAAACTACCTATAATTTTGGTTACTAGCTACATGAAACGTACTGTCTTCTGCAAATTTGTAACCTTTCTGATTAAACTTTGTTTCACAACAGAAATATGAATTTCGAAAGCATATGTCACGCTCATTTTTAGTTCCTGTAAATATTAGAACCAGAAGCTTAAGACAGATAGATTCATCTGGAAGTTTAATACGTGTAATATCAACAGTCCAGAGGTCTTCAATAAATGACAATGCCTCCCCAGAGATATCCCCTGAAAGAGAAGGTGCCAACATCTGTATATGTTAGCAATTCTTTTAAATGTTGAATCCAATATTAATATCCATATTCAGTGAACCACATTTCACTTACGTGGTTAAACGTATTAGCAATGGAAAACACTACACTTAAATTCCGAAATGGCCTTCATTATCTTGTTCTTTTTCATATAACATTCGTTTTGTTGGTACATATTTGTGTTTATTAGTGGTTATTTTCCTTCCGATAAATTGTAAATTTTGAGCTTGTGACTGATTGTGCAGTGAATTAAATTAATTATTCTATTATCTCAAACTTGAAACATCTTCTTCCTAATGATATAATCTAACTGTTTATATCAGTTTTTATTTTGTTTATTATCTTTATTTTGTCAAATTATTTGATTGGTTATTTATAATATTTTCAGTTGTATAATTAAATCATAATGAGCTTAAATTAACATGGGCTCATTCCAATCATCAGTTTATGAATAAATCACCAGATAAACCTTAAAAATATTTTCTGACATAACTCAGAAGGTTCTTTTATGGTTTTCATTAAATCTAGAAGATTGCATTTTCTTATGTTTTCCCCTGCGAATTTATCTAAATCCCACCATGTTAATGTCATGTCAATATTTATTTGTGTTTCTAATTTCTTAATTATAAACATGTTCCCATTTTA